AAAAAAAAAAAAAACACCCTTATTTGGATAACATAAACACAGTAATCTTACAAGTTGGAATGGAAAAGTAAACATTACTCCAAAATGTGCTGTACCCTGCTAGGTGACCGTACTTACTCTGGCCTACAACCTGGGTCAGTATTTCTCCCTTCAGCATTTTCTGGAACCTACAAGTGTCCTAACAGTTGGAGAAAGTAAATGAAACAGTGAAATAAAACAATCTGTTCGTAGACACAAACTAGATTAAGAAATGTCAGCTGTCCAGGCTTAGAAATCACTCAAAGTTCAGGAAAACCGGAGAGAGAACATAAAGAGTGGCATTCTCAAGTCCAGCTACCCAATTCTTGGGCATTGGCACCTTCAGAAAAAGCCCACCCTACTCAACCAAGCGGAGGTGCTTCTTCAGCTGCAAGTACACGGAAATCCAAAAGCCCAAAGAATCTCACAAGAAGGCCTCATTAGTAGTTCAGTATTCTGGAGAAGCAAGTGTCAAGGGGTAAAATAGTTAATTTGTGTTTCCTCTCCTACACTTAAGACCGCTCTCTTGGGCACTACAAACCCACCCCAATTTATTGAGTCTGAGTCACGGTGATAATCCCCCCAGTCAACTCCAATTGCTCCTCCCACCCACCCCCACCCCGTGTAAATACACACACGCACTACACAAGGCCTGGTCTACAGGCCTCTTGCCTTTTCTCCCAACACAACTAGGACCTTTGTTCCTAGTGTCGCTTTTTTACCCTAACTCAATAGCTCTTTCAACTTTCTACCCGGTGGTTTTGTTGGATTTTTGTTTGGCAAGAAGAGATTCGAGGCCGCCACTGGCGAGGTCTTTACAAGCCGAGATGCCAAAAACATCGAGGGGGGAACTCTCGGGAGGAAGAGAAAGTTACACACATCACCACAGGGCCTACAGCACCGAGAGGAGCCCGGGGATCGGGTGATCCGGCAGGCCAAGCCAAGGCCCTGGAAGGCCGCCGGGGAAGGGAGCCGGCAGGGGCGCGGTAAGACGTCCACTGGGGGCAGGTTCCCAGCAGCACTCCTAAGCGGACGTACACAACACACACACACACACACACACGAACGTTGACACCCCCACTCTCTCGTCCCCCACCCAATTAACTAACGAGGTAATCCAACTGGGACCCACCTCCGGAAAGCGATGCTTTCCGCTGCTCGGACCAACCCCAGACAAACGGCCAGATCAACGCCAACACCGAACAAAAAGGGCCGTCAGGAAGGCTCAGGAGGAACCAAAGCCTGCCCGCTGCCCAGCAGTGCTCCACGGATGTGGGTTCCCTCCCTCCCTCCCGCGATTGGCATGTATGTTTGGAAATCTGGGGCTTAATTTCTCCTGGAGCAGATGAAGGCATCCTCCCAGGCCACGGAGGCGGGCCGGGCTTGGGATCTGCCAGGCCACCCCTCGGCGGGCGTCAGAACACCTCCAGCACTTGTTCCGTGCCCTCGTAAGCCTGCCCCCCTCCCCGGGGGGAGGCGGCCAGGCAGACGGTGTATGGGATTTATGTAACCCAGAGCGCCCCGAATCACCAGTCTCGCTTGGGTTTGGATGCAAACCCGACTCGAGGGGGGTGACAATTGGGTCACCCAAGTTCGAGGCGCCCTCCCCCAACCCCTCGATTTCCCTTCTGCTCCATGGAGGATGTTCGGCTCCCCTCGGCCAAGTTTCGCGGCCGCCTTCACGGCCCACTCCGCGTCATCCCCCAGCCTCAAGTTCCCCCGGCTGAAGGAACCGGCCCGCCCGCCCTCAACCGTCCCCCTCGGCAGGCGACCCCGACGGCGGACTCCACTCACTCCGGCCGCTCCCTCTCAGAACCTCGCTCCCCACAACTGTTGTCACTCGAACTGCTCCCTAGTTTCCATTTCCGGGCCATCTCCGGCCCGAGAGCCTCCCCTCTCCCCGTTTCCGGGCCCCCGTCCCATTTCCGGGGAACCCAGGCCGTCTTCACACCCCCCACCTGCACTTCCGGCCCCCCACTTTCTCTCTTCCTAGACGCCCTCCAAGCTCCTAAACCCACTTCCGGCCCCCCCC